TTTTTTTTTCGACATATTCCTTCAAAGGACTTCTCAAGTGGGCTTTTGGGAGTGATTGGTGTCTTGTACTTTAAGTTGTGGCACATGTGTACTTCATACGCCGTTTCCGTCCTTGCTTTCCCTTCAAAATCAGTCACATCTGTTTTTCTAAATTTTGATTGCAATTTTCCACCTACCTTTACCATTCAACGAATCTTAGGATCTTGGTAGCGGTAACAGCGGTTTCGAGTGGTTTACACCCAAAATCCTACGGATAGAGTAAATGGGTAGGCGTCAGTGAATAGTTGGGGATGGAGGAGGGGTGTGGGCAAGGGGAACGGTGTGGAACATTAGTGCTCCCCCACTTCCACAGTTAAACAATAATCACTCTTGGGGTAAAAGTATTGATAACAACCTTTTCAGATCGCTGATTTATGATGCTCCGAGTTTTGCCAAAAGTAATTATTGTGCATTCCAACTTGAGCCAATAGGGAGCTGTAAACGGTATCATACAGTTATAGGGACATACAGTTTGATTCCAGGTATGTCACTGCCAACCCCTTTGTACAAACTGAGTGCCGTTCAGAAACAATCTGTCTATGAACCTGCCGAAGACACTTTTCTTCTTCTAGATGCCATTGAAAAGGATTTACAGGTGAAATTTTTATTCAGTATTCCTACTTTATAAGTTAAATTGGCAACAATACGACTCTGGATAAGAAGATTTTTTAGGTAATTAAACTTTTTTGAAATTTTGAACGTGGCGGGATATATTAAAAGCAGCGTTTTTTGAAAATATTTCCGTAAAACTGAGATCCAGATTAGAGTCCAAAAAATTCATGGTTAGCATTCTTTTGTGATGTATTTTCAGAAGCTCCGTGACATTTCACCCGAAATCGTGCTCGAAATTGGTTGCGGTTCCGGTGTTGTATCGGTGTTCTTGAATAAGGTAATATTTTTCTGAGCAGATTTTTTGAATTTTTTAAATTTTTCTTTGTGAATCTGAAGTTATACGGTTATGAAGAAGTATAAGTATGCTGTATCGTTTGAAGAGCTCGGTGGCTTCAGTGGACCCTCATGGGCCCGCTGGATCCGCAAAATGTCCTTGCCTTGAGCTGTATGGAGATTTTGCAAAGTCAACGCTGAAGTATTATGTAGAGTGTATAGAAGTGGCAGTGACTTCCTACTATCCTGGCTCAAGGCTAGTAGCAGGGTCCCGAATTTTCATTGTCTCAGAGTTGGCCGCACGATGGAAGCTGCTACGTAGCCACTCATGTATACATGGATGAAAGCGGCCCATTACTCAATAGACTACTTGGGGACTTGATGTCCTCTAGGCTGAGGAATCTTTCATCTTTCTCGGCTGTCATTTGGTGGAGAAATGTTGAAAATGGTCGACCAGAGTGAAACACTTAGAAGATAGGGCGATCAGCACTACTCGTTCTCGGTTTACACAAGTCCCTTTCTTCAAAGTTGTTGATCCGTGCCTGCTATGTCCACTTTCCCTGAAAGAAATCGGTCCACGAGAAGATGCTAGTCGTCCTTCATTGAAATACATAATGTGTCCCGTTAAAGAGAGAACGCTTTTCTCGTACTCATCTTACTAGCCACCCACCCTTCTCCATGTGCATCCACTTGCTCCCATACTTCTCAATGTGTAAGTCGGTATTAATGGGGTTTTCAAAATTTCAACTGTGATTTTTGTTCGCTGGTTTCTTTGCTTCTAGTTGAGATCAGGTCTGCGTCAATACTTCCAAATGTGTGCCGAGGAGATCATCGATGAGGTAGGAAGCTCGAAGGGAATGTATCCCACTTTCCGCAGCTCTCAGCGCTAAAGTTTTTTTGATTATTCCTTGGAAAATAGAAAAACCCTTTCTTCTCTTTCACAACTACTCTCTCCTTACTCTCCCCCTTCTTCATCTTCCTCACGTTGTAAAATACATGAAGGTTGAAAAAAGAAGCAAGAGGACGAGCTGGAAGCGTCAGGATCGTTTGGAATCGGGAGTTTGTTAGTAAGTGGTAAGTGAAGAATCAAAAGGTTCTCTGAACGGTCCTTCATTGGCGGCACACTGTTGGGACTTCGATTTCCCGAGATAAAAAATCTCCTACATAAACTATGGTCAACACAAAATTATTCACCACAAAAGAATACAGCCTGGATTTCTGCTGACGCCTTCGAAGCATTGGAATTGGATCTTTGTCGAACCCTCATACCTTCTGTCTACCTCAATCGTTTATTTAGTATCGAGTTCAGGGTAAGGAGGTCAGGGTATTGGCCGAGCATTGGGTAAACCCTCTTACGGCGGATGTATATCTGAAGGATTCGCTCAAAAGAATTCAAAGAAGTGGTGATTAATCAAAAGAGAATCTCTATCATTTGCATAGGAACTGGATGGCTGCAGTCCATTTTGGGCATGCTCTTTAAACTTGGATTAGGTAATTCAATTCAAGTGCTTTCCTCCTATGTATGTTGGTCGTTTGACTTCTTCAGAGGGAAATTCAAGTTCTGTTGGATTTTGAAATATTGCTTCGCTCGTTCTAATAAAAGTTATATATCATCTCAAGTTACTTGTTACTCAAAAGTTTGCTGTCCCCGGCATGCATTCTCTCCAAAAAACTGCGAGCTTAACAAAAAGTTTCGTATTGCACTGACCGATGAATGGCTCAAAGAGCTGGCTCAGAATTGCAAATTGGCCATTGCTGTGAGGGTCGTCAGCGCTAAAAACACCGGAAATCCATTTACAGCATCGGTTTGCTCAAAGAATATCTTTTGCACGCACGACATTTAATGAGCCAAGCTGGGCTTTGTTGTGTTTTTATTAAGCTGACTTTGGATTTGCCAAAACAGAGTACACAGTGTTGTAGAATGCCCTTCTGAGGGGCAAATGGTTCTGACTGGGGCAGTATCTATTTGCAGCTTTTTGGTAACCAAAGCTATAATTTACTTTGGACTAGGGCGTCTAGCTCATGAGGTGGTGGTGTAGTGGCAAGTGGCGCGCTATATC